TGGTTGACAGAGTGAGACTCTGACTCACAACAAGCAAACAAAAAACACAAAATAAATTAAATGATTATAAAACTTACTCTGATTATCTTTAAATCTATTTTAAAACACCAACACCATGAATTTAATTTATCACTTCAGTTTTTACTTGTTTTTGTTTTTCCCTCGGAATAAGGTACTTTCTTAATGCTGCTAAAATATTTCTTGTGATATTTTCTTGAGTTCCTGAAATCTTGACAGTCCTTGCCACTGCTAATATTGTCTAATATCCTCAGTCCTCAGATCCACCAAGGCTATATAGAATTGGATTTCTTAACAGATTGATTCATGGTTGGAGATATCCCAAAGAGTTATTATTTTTTTCTAGTCAAACCTTTCCTGCTATCTCAATGTCTTTTTTTAAAAAAATTTTTTATCGTAGAGATGAGGTCTTGCCAAGTTGCCCAGGCTGTTCTCGAACCCGTAGGCTCAGGCAATCCTCTCACCTCGGTCTCCCAAAGTGCTAGGATTACAGGCTTGAGCCACCACACATAAAGGCTCAATAAGTCCTTTAATGTTCATACCTTCCACATAAGCTTTTTGTTTCTGCAATCTGTCTTTCCCCCTGAAATTAAGTACTCCATTTTCACTTGGCCAGAGTTATGGAATTCCTGGCTGTCATTATGAGATATTGACTTGCTTTGTTAATATTATTAAAAACACTTGCATGTGTTGTTAATGTCTTCTTATGATTAAGGGAGCATCTAGTGAATTCCTCTCCTGGGAGAAGAGGATTGAGTTTGCACATTGTCACTCCTTTTTAGGAGATTTGGCTAATTCATCATCTAAGGACCCCCTTTCTCCTTGGTCATTGAGCACCAGTGCTGGTTAACTGTTTGGATTTCCTTTCTACCTGGTTATCATGTGTAACTGCATGTGCTGATTGGTTCTTCCTATTCCTGGAATAGTTAATTATTTTTTTCTGGGGCTACTTAACTCACACACAGTTCCCTGTTTTCATCCTTTTCTATTTACCAATGGAAATAAGCATATATCTGTTCATTATAAACAGACGTATACTTAGAAGAAACACACATGTTCATATAAGAAACATTTATTTTTTTAAACCAATAAAAACATAAAAAGTTCTCAAATATTCACTCTCTTTTGTGACAGTTTCCAGTAACTTTTTTCTTTTGAATGTTGTTATGAATTCAGGCCTTTCACAAACTATATTATAGCTGACACTCTTGAGTGCCTACCTCCCAGACCATTATCTCACCCTTCTTGCTTATTGATGGGGTCCCAGATATGTCTATCCTTGTTCATGTAACTCAGAGCTAAATCCTGACTGGGCTAAGATAATCATAGAGGTTCCATTTACCTTAAGGTTTCTGACTGGCACTGAGTTTTGGCCAAAAAGAGGTAAGGAGGAGGTGCCGGCTGATTTCTGAGAAAGCTTTCTCTGCTCTTAACCAGGGAGGCACAGAAAGAAATCATCCTTCTTTTCCCTTCTGGATGTTGTCATGTCTGTCTTGAATTGCTGGAGAGGTAGCAGTCACTGCTACCACCACGGGAGGAGCTGAGGAGGTAGGTAGCCATTGAGAAACCAACTCATGAAGGATGGCAGAGTGGAAAGATGGACAAAAACTCTCAAAGAACCCTCCCCCAAACCTTGGCTCCTTGATGATGCTGCTGACTTAAACAACCCTGGAGCTAAGCTACCCCAGTGCTGCTTGTTTACTGAGATAGTAATTTTTCCTTATTGTTTGAACCATTTTGAATGGGTTTTTTTGGTTGCTTGCAATAGAAGACATTCTAACTGATACATTTATTATTTATATATTTATCTTTCCTTTTTTTTTTTTGAGCTGGAGTCTCACTCTGTCGCCCAGGCTGGAGTACAGCGACATGCTCATACCACTGCAGCCTCGACCTGCTGGGCTCAGGTGATCCTTCTGCCTCAGTCTTCCAAGTAGCTGGAACTACAGGCACATGCCACCACGCCCAACTAATGTTTTGATTTATTGTAGAGATGAGGTCTCACCATATTGCCCAGGCTGGTCTCAAACCCCTGGACTCAGGCAATCCTCTCGCCTTAGCCTCCCAAAGTTAGGATTACAAAGCTAGGTTTACAGGTGTGGGCTACCACACCTGATTTATCCTTACTTTTTTTTTTTTTGAGTTGGAGTCTCACTCTGTCGCCCAGACTGGAGTGCAGTGGCCGCTACCAGCCACCACAGCCTCGACCTGCTGGGCTCTGGTGATCCTTCCGCCTCAGCCTTCCAAGTAGCTAGAACTACAGGCGCGCGCTACCACGCCCAGCTAATTTTTGATTTATTTTAGAGATGAGGGCTTGCCAAGTTGCCCAGGTGGGTCTCGAACCTGCAGGCTCAGGCAATCCACTCACCTCATCCTCCCAAAGGCGCGGGATTACAGGCTGAGCCACTGAGCCCGGCTTTACCCTTACTTTTTCATAACAACAGTATGTTCCAGGCTTATCACGTGCTTTACTTGCCCCACAATATGAAACAGCTACCCTCTAAAGGGTCTAGGTTACTTTTAGTGGAAAGTAATATTGTGGAGCAAAATCTGGGCTCTATAGTATTGATGTAGGTGAAAATGACCATTGCTGCCATTGGGCCCCTCTTAGTAGTGATAGAGCTTAAAAACAAATACTGCCGGGCTTGGTGGCTCAGCCCGTAATCCCGTGCCTTTGGGAGGCTGAGGTGAGTGGATTGCCTGAGCCTGCGGGTTCGAGACCCGCCTGGGCAACTTGGCGAGACCTCATCTCTACAATAAATCAAAATGAGCCGGGCGTGGTAGCGCGTGCCTGTAGTTCCAGTTACTCGGAAGGCTGAGGTGGAAGGATCGCCAGAGCCCAGGAGGTCGAGGCTGCAGTGGCCGGGAGTGGCCACTGCACTCCAGTCTGGGTGACAGAGTGAGACTCCAACTCAAAAAAAATAAATAAATAAAAATAAAGGACCAATTTTCCTAACATAGAAGTAGTCTCTACAAATTGATTAGAAACCCAATAGAAAAACAGAACAGTTAGTTCACAGAAAAGAAAATACAAATAGCTACTACAATATGAAAAGATGCTCAGCCTTACTCATAACAAGATTATGCTAATTAAAATGAAAACTAGGGTAGTGTTTTTCACCCGTTAGATTGGCTAAGGTGATGATGGTTATTAACACACCATTGGCAAGAGTGAGGAAGAACAGGTACTTTTATACATAGTCCACTGGTGAGCATGTACATTGGTACAATTTTCTTTGGAGGGCAATTTAGCTGCTTCTGCCAAAATTAGACATGCTTTTGGCCCAGAATTTTCATCTCTAGGATTTTGTTCTACAGATGTACTGGGTTTATTTTAGCAAAATTTTTTTCCATAGTTACAAAATGTTAACAACTTAAGTGTCCACTTATAAGAGACTGGTTGAATTTATGATGCTACAGCAAAACAATGGTATTTTTTTTTTAATTTAAGCAGTCATTTTTTGTTTTTGTTTTTTGAGTTGAAGTCTCACTCTGTTGCCCAGGCTGGAGTGCAGTGGCACATTCACGGCCACCGCAGCCTCGACCTGCTGGGCTCAGGTGATCTTCCATCTCAGTCTTCCAAGTGGCTGGCTGTTTTCGAACCTGTGGGCTGAGGCAAACCCCTTACCTCGACCTCCCAAAGTGCTGGGATTACAGGCTTGAGCCACTGTGCCCGGCGAAACAATGGTATCCTTAATAAAGAACAAGAAAACTTTTTATGTATGTATATGAAATGATCTCCTGATTTATGCTACAATATGGAAAAAGCAAGGTACCGAACAATGTGTGAGGTATGCTACAATATGCAGAAACTAAAAGGACAAGAAGGATAGGCATGTCTTTTCTTGGTAATAGTACATAGAAACTGCAAACAGTGATTGCTGGGGTAGAAAAACTAGGTGACTTGGGCCAAGGGGAGGGAGAATTTAGTGAAGACCTCTTTGTACCTTTTGAGTTTTGAATTATGTGAATGTATTTCCCACTAAAAATTGCACAAACCAGAAAATATGCATCACAAACATATTTTCATGGGCTTCGTTTGTTTTACCAGGCTTATTGTTAATCCGTGCCATGGAATCTGTTTTACTTTTCTTTATTGTTACCTGGTCTGATAGTTATTTGTTTACCTTTTTTCTCCATCAAGGAGAGGATTTATTTATAATTGATTTTTTAGCTCAGTGTGTTTCAGTAAACACTGTTGACACTGACAAGCCCCGGCACTATGCTAATTCCAGGGAAATAAAAGTGAGTCAGTCATGCTGGGTATGTGGTCCCTGCCTGGGAGGAGCTCACATTAGTGGGGGATGCAGACATATGAACACATGGTCACGATGCAGTATTAAGTGTGCGATAATAGAAGTATGCACAACGAGGAAAGCAGTGGAGAGGAAGGCTGATAAGCTCTGGTGGAGTGGGATGGTTGGAACTGCCAGGGAAGACTTCACTGAAAACCGGGGTCTAAGCAGGGTTTAGAATGAACAGAATTAGCCGGGCTCGGTGGCTCAACCGGTAATCCCGCGCCTTTGGGAGGCTGAGGTGAGTGGATTGCCTGAGCCCGCGGGTTCGAGATCCGCCTGGGCAGCGAGACCTCA